CTGCCTCTACCCCGTCTCCACCTCCCGGACAAGCTGCCTGGGCACTGACCCCACTCACCCAGCCCAGTCCGGGCGGCCAGGAGTGCAGCTCAGCTCAACCCAGCCACGTGTGTCCTGCTGCTCCCTATTGTGGAGCCTCTGACAGACTGAGATCGACTATCAGAGGCTCCACGATCGACTGGTTGGTGACCACTGCCATAGAGTATTTCCAAACTCCTCTGCTGTAACTACAGAACAGTACTGTAGGGAACAGAAAATGTACACGGTCTTTCCCTGCACTCTGACCCAAGTTACAGGAAACAATAACTTCTTAAGGGCTGTTGACCAGTCTAGTACATGAAGTTGAGCTATTCTGTGCAGGCACTGTTACAAGCATAACCTTTTTGTGGCATTCACTGCTGTGGCATCTGAGCACTTAATGAATAGTCATGAGTTTATTCTCAGAGCTGCTTGTGATGTAGAGAATTATCATCTTCCCCAAAAACCACAGGGTGCTCCTCACATGCTTGCTTCTTGGATAGAGCTGGACTTCTCTCAGAGACAACTAAAGCTCAATTCTGTATTTTGAAGAGCTGATGTCCTACCTCTCAAGATGGAAAAAAAATCACATTAAAGTGATGCAGGACCTTGGGTGTGAAGGTACCATGCCTTAGCTGGGGCAGACAATGTAAAGCTCAGCACTGAAAGAGACAGATTACTCACTGGGAACCTTTTTAATTCTTCTTTCTAGACAAGACAGTTTGGGAGTTGGAGTGGGCTAGACAAAAATATAACCACTTTCTGAGGCTTCTCATTACCAGCTATAAAAATTACTCTCAAGGAAAATTAGTAAACAAGTTACTTATTTTAAATAAAAATTTCCTCTAACAGGGAGATGGCAGCAACAAAGAATGAACCCAAAGTCTATGAAGTCCAGCTCCAACAGAAATACTGGCTAAAGGACACAAGTAAAACCAAGCTGCTGCAGCTTCAGGCAATATGCCTGGATAAGGTTACTGAGCAAGAGCACTATTATGACACTGCTTTACATGAGCTCGCTATGACTCAGACCTGGCTTAGTCAAAAAAATCAACAGTGGCATCTTATAGTGGCTTCTCAGAAGCAAGAAACAAGAGGCAATGCATCTACCACTGAATTATCTCCCAAGATGTGGAATACTCTGCACCTGGATAAAACAGATGCCAGCCATGTCAAGCTTCACACCCACATCCTCACCAAAGAACTCCCAGAGGACGGACTGACAGGATCAGCAAACATTAGCAAGCAAGATGAGCTGCATTATCATTCCAAAAAAGCAACCAACGCAGGCACACACATGGAACACACTTCAACTTATGCTGAACTGGTAACAGAAAGAGAGATAATTACATATCTGGCACACTCCCTTCACATTGGTTTGACAAAAGAGGAAGAAAGAAATATGACGATAAAAGACTTTTTGCAGCTAGCAGGAGTACAACATTATGCAAGCTATCACCATACCAAACAGGTAACATATACACTGTACGGAATTTATACGATTATTATACAGATGGATGAAAAGACTTCCAAGGAGTCAGCTACTATATTGGTGGACACAGATATTCTTAACGTAGACAAGTGTTTTGAAGAAATAGAAAAGTTAGCAAGTGATCTGGAATTGCAACATCAAACACCTTGAGTCAATAAAGACAGACCTGACATCGTCATAGAAACTTTAAAAATGAGGTCAAGTTCCTGAGGGATCAATATTTCAATGAATCAATTATAATAAAATGATCAACTTGCACTAAACAACACAAAAGAACTTAAGAAACTTTTATTCTTTGAGATTTTTGAAATCATGCTTGTCAAGTCACCCGATTTACTTTTTTTCAGTCTTTAACTCCCTCCCCCCGCCCACAGCATAATCTTATAAACCAATTCAGGGTAGCAACAACAACCTCTTTAGTGTAAGCACATATTACTAACCCCAGAAAACCTAATACTATAGGAACAGTTTCACAGTTAATTTTTTTATTTTCATAAGATTACTTAAGTACTCAGATGTTATGGTTTTATATCACCTTCTCTCTCTCTCCTGGCATTGAGACCTTGTAGGAACAGATGCCTATCAGCCCTCTTTTTCACATTCAGACAACTTCTGTTTTCCTTGAACTAAATAAAAAGGAAGGATCTTCTTCCATGAAGAGCAAGAACACCTGTATCCTATCACCCTAAGAAATCTTTGCCTCTACTCAGTCACTGGCATTTACCATGTCAGACCAGTTGTGTAACTGCTACTTTTTCAGAAAGAAAAATAGGGCCATGTCTTCCATATTTAAACAATCTCACGCACAAGCAGACACTTGCATGAGACAGAGGCAAAGCACAGTAAATAAATAAAATCAGCATATCACCTGCACCCTCATTATTTGGTTCATTCAATGCCTGCTTATATTCAAGCATTTCTGGGGAATTCCTAAAAGAGAGATTCAAAAACAGCCTTCCTAGATCACAAGGGAGATTCACAAGGGTCTTCTTGTTGCTATTCTGCAGCAGTCTGGGATAACCTGGGATAATAGGTTCTGGACAAGAGGAATGTAAAAGTTGTTACATTACTACAACCCACTAAAAGACACAAGCATGCAAGAGATGCAAGCAAGCAGAGGTCGATGACAACACCCGCACTGGCACAAACTGTCTCATGTGCTGTCACACTTCCCCCATTTCTTCTCTGTGCCACCATGTGGTTGAGAAGTACAATGTTTTCCTGCTAGTTTATTCAGCCTCCAGCTTGAGCCTGAGTGACTGGGACAGTATTTTCATGTTAATAGCTGTGAAAATACTGGATTTTGACCTCTCAAGTGCTTGAAGAGGTTGCAGTCTTCAAAAATGGTGAGAACTGTATTTCACCGGAAATGTTCTCATCTAGTTCTTGTCTTCTGATAGAAAATATCAATAAGATATCAACTTTATTGAAAGACGCCTGGAATGACCAACTTTTAATTTTCACCCTTATTGAATAGTTTGAATGAATAGTTTTAATATTCTCAGAGTAAAATTTTCCAAAATTTTTGCTTCACAATTATAACATTTTGACTATTTCATCCAATCGAGGAACAAAAGGAATTGTGAAATGCTAGATTTTCTTGCAGAATGAAAATTCTGAGCTTTGACCATGTCTAGCCAACTTGAAATCTAGGGACCTTCAACAAAGAAGCATGATGCCTGCCCACAAGCTACCCTGCCTGTTTTTGCAGTTTGGCACTTATTCCTATTTTTAAAATGTATGTTTTTCTCTGCTATATGCGAGACAAAAAATGCAATGTGAAAAGAGGTGTCAGATGTAAACTAAAATACAGAAAAAGAGTTGGTTTAGTCTCACTCTTCCAAATCTAGTAGTCTTAGAGCTGCCTAAAACAGATGTTTTCAGACAACTTAGATTCAAAGCATCCATTTAATGTAAAATATGTTAATTCCTTTTTCATCCAAGGATATGCCACACAACTCAGTCCTCTATCCAGGAAAGAACTGTGATCCTTCCAGAAACAGGATATTTCTGAACAAATACAGTGGGTGTGGCAGGCTCACAGCAGATGCACCACAGTGCCAGCATCCAGGTGGCCAGTTGGCAGGGAAACTGGCTGGCACCACGTGGCCAGGGAGGGGGTGTGGCCTGCAGAGCAGCCCAGCCCCAGAGGGTTCTCAGGATAAAAAGAGCTCCTTAGCTGCGCCTTGCAGGAGGGAGAAGGAGCACCAGAAACACTGCCTGAGACCCTCCCTGTATCTGCAGCAGAACCAGAGAGCCCCTGCAGAAGCTGGCCACTGAATAACGCTGCCAGAGCCCAGCCCATGGCAGGGGGGGCCTGGGAACATGCTTACCCATGGCAGTAGAGCCAGGGACCCTTCCTAAGGCAGGAGCCCCTGCCGAACCAGAAGCCACCACAGATAGCCGGGAAGCTGTGGGAAAGAGAGTTGGTATCAGTGCAGGAGCCACCAGCAGTGAGGCGAGCTGGGGGACATGTGCCTGTTCAAGCAACCGCTTGCTCACCACAACACCAACAGGTACTCTGAGGGCAGTCAGGACAGGAAGCAGGCTGTCTGAGAAGGACTTGTGGGACCCCCCCAAGAGAGGGATCTCACTGGGTGCCCACAGGGCCCTGTGCATCATGTATAAGTGAGCCCAGTCAGAAATTCCTGCAAGGGCAATGCTGGCCTGCACCTGGGGAAGTGTGGGAGCCAGGTAAAATGAGGTCCGCTGAGCCTAGAGCAGGGGCGGGCAATTATTTTGGGCAGAGGGCCACTTACTGAGTTTTGGCAAGCCATCGAGGGCTGCATGATAGGCAGCCAGGGGAAGATAAACATTAATTTCCTAAATTTTTAGGGGCTCTGCGGGCCGGACAGAATTGCCTGGCAGGCTGCATCCGGTCCCCGGGCCACATTTTTCCCACCCTTGGCCTACAGCATGGAATTGAAGTGATTAGAGGCAGGGAGCATTGGTGCCCTGTTCACCCGCACCATCAGGGCATCTTGTGTTCAGTATAATTAAGTTGTATATTCGTTAAGCCAGGGGAGCCTGGTCATACTGCTGTGAAGAACTGTGTAGGCAGGAGTTCCTATGGAAATGAACGGCACCAACACCTGGTTCCAGAGGTGACCACCTGAAGCAGACCACCCGCCTGGAAAGGGGTGAGGTACAGGGGAGGAGGAGCTTCACAAGAAATACTGCCAGAGACTTCAGGGTCAAAGAAAAGAAACACTGAACGACACCTCTAGGCATGTAGGCCCCAAAGTAGTGCCCAGGTGGGCAGGACATGCTAGTAGTGGTGCTGAGGGCATGAGCATGCCACAGTGGGACTTGAAAACAATCTATTCATCCACTAGTCTGTGATAAAAGTCATGCGCTTCTGCAAAAGGTAATCTTATAAAAAAAAAAAAAAATCAGCTTTCTGGTCTCTAGGATTAGGAAGAGTAGCTCCTAAATATGCGCTGATTATAAGTGATGGTGAGTTTTTTCCTAAGTCTGCAGGCAGCTCTAAGACTGCTACTACTGCTCAGAGTTTTCCAAGCTGCAGTGGAATCAAAACTGACTTGTCTTCTCAGCTTTCATTGCTGACATTCAGAACAGTGTGGAAAGCAGTTAAATTGATAAGAACTGGGTCAGTTTTGCAGGAACTATTCAATCTCCAGTCCTTGGTTCACACCTTTTCACGTATTAAAAAGTCTTTGAGTTAAATTCTCTGATTCTTCACCTCAATCCAAAAGGCAATTTTTAAATGTCAAGGGAAAAAAGTCTAAGGAAGATAGAACTTTGCAGAGTTATAACAGTAAAAAAAAAAATATTTCTTTTGTTAAGCGATTCATTCTATTCTCCTCTCAGTTAAAAATCCCAACAGACTATTAATACTTCACATGAACAAACACAGTCTGTGCCTTCTTATATGCACAGTGAACCCTAAAGTCCCACCAATACAGCAAAGAGCTGCAAGGTTCCAAATCTCAGCTGAAGGCCAGCATGTGCCTCCTTAGTTCATCTGAAGTGCATTTTAATTATGTCTGCCTGTTTGTAATGCAACTTTCCCTCTCATTCTTGTTCTCTCTTTCCCTTCCTACCTTCATTCCATTCTCTTCTAGATAGCATTCCTGAATTCACTTCTCTTTTTCTCAAATGGAATGCTCTACCTTCCAAATATTATACTATGTTTTTCCTTTTTTTATTTGGTCCCTCAATTTCTCTTGTGTGCTTGTACAACCATCCCCTTGCATGGACCTTGGAAAATTTGCCAGACTATAGCCAAAAAACTAAAACTAACAGTCAAGGAACAATTTCACAATTTTGAGAGCCAAAATGTAGGTTTTTTTCAAAAAACAAACACAACAGTTTAATTAAACTCAACATTCAAAGTAATTATTTTAATAATTATTTTCTTCTTCTATCTCAATAAAACTATTTAGATTTAAACACAGTCTTGGACTGCTTGCAACACAGTATTAAAGCACTGTGCTAACAGAAGAGAACTAGAAAATAAAAGACTTTTCTCTTTAGTCACTGCTCAATCTCAACTGACACACAAGCTTCCCACTAGAAGTTCCTTTAAAAAAAAATCAGCTCCAGTATTTAACATGTGATTTTGAGCCTAATTGCTTTCCATACTGAACAACCTGTGTTGTATAAATGGATTAGTATTAACTCTGTTGTATTAAGGCATGCATTTTATACCATAAACAGAATGCAGAATACGTAAATCACTTATGAAAATTAATTATAAAAAACATACTATCAATGTAACAATGTATTCATAGTATCACAGTTGCCATTTTGTGCAAGCATAATACAGGTTCAGATTCTGTGGCCTTATTTTAAAAAGTACTTGTGTAACTCCGCAAACTCTAATTGTGATGCATGAAAGAAAAGGGCAATTAGTGCGTTACAATGATATGACTAGAGGTGCCTCATTCTGTCTCTCAAGATGATATTGAGTAAGCCTAAAACACCTCTTTATTTTAATAACTCTCTGCTAGCAGGCAAAGCTTGTAAGAGACTATTATGTCAGATTTGCAATTCAACGCAAACAGCTATAACAACTAACCCTCAATTACTATTCCTGTAAGCTTCATCATAAATGTTATTTTTGATGATGCTTTTGGTGATTGATGATACACTTTTATAAATGTTCCAATTCCTCTCTAACTTTATGCAAAGTTGTATCTAACATCAGGATTTCTTCTCTACACTGTTAAAAGGGGTGATTTTAAAAATTGAAGAGGCACAAAAGTTATCAGTGAAAAAGCAGGTAAATCAGAGGACTTGCAAGAAATAAAGCTTTCTACTGCTGGGCTATCAACTAGAATCTCATCCTGGCTGTACAAGCCCTTACAGTCTAACCCTCATTTTGTGACATTTCAATGTCACGTGCAGTGTATCACCATATATTCACCCCACTGTCAACCTTAAGAGATCAAAGAACTGCTGCATTATGGAGAACTAGCCTTTCAATCTTGGAAGCAAGCAGTCTTCCAGGAGATGGTTGAAGTACACACCTGGTGGCAGTGGAGGGGATGAGAATCAAGAGAGGCAGATGTTAGGTTATGATTTAAGAGCAATCTGGATCTTACAAAAAACTGGATTTGCTTTCGAGAAGTCATTGTACACAGAGGCTCCTCATGCTATTTAAACATGTTTATGATAATTTCATACTATCAAGAAGCTGCTGCAAATTACTGATAAGAAATACATACAACCCCTGAAAACAGCAGCCCCCCAGTGTATTTCAAAAGGGCATTTGGAAATAATAATACACACCTAGTATCTGGGAGAGTGACACTGCCTAAAGCACGAGTCATAACAGAAGACACACTAAAAATCTTATTTTACTTGTTTGTGCTCTAACACTTGCAACGAACTCTTAGGAAAGCTTGACAGCACCTTTGGACAAAATGTAATTAAGATATGAATCAGACATTTGCTACTGCTTCATTGCCAGTCTCATATTTTTTAGAAAATTTGTTTTAAAATATGCTATTTTCCTCAGTGTTATACTTAACTCAAGTCCCCTCACCCCCATTTCAGTGATACCTATTTCAGCTAAAACAATTAAGCTACTTAGGAAGCACCGACAAACAAATAAAAAAGAAAACTGTTTTGCTGCTGATTTCTCCCAGTCTTAGCAACTAAGATTTAACTGAAAACCATAATATGTACGAAAATTATACGACAAGAACTGCTTTTCAAGTTGACAGTCTGACTCTAACAGTGGCACTACTGATTGCAGTATGCTGGACTGGAAGCTAGTGAAACACACATATAATCTGGAAACAGATCTTCCATCAATCATAATCAGAGCTGCAAAATTTTCTATACTTTATAGTCTGGATTCTGTAGCTGGTAATACAGTAGTTCAATGCAGAATTCTGTGCACTGCTCAGCACACTGCATTCAAATTACACAGCAATATTAATTAGATTAACTTGCTGATTTTTATAATACATTTCTGAGTACCCTTGGAGGTGCAGAAACAGCTTTACTAAAACTCTTGGGTAAATTAACAGTTATTCCAAAGAAGACTAGCTTTTTATAAAGCATACAGAACTGCTACATAACTCCCATGGGAGTGTGGCAACTGATGAACCCAAGAATCCTGTTTTTGACCTAACTTTTTACGAGCAGCAGAAGATGACATTGTGTAACACATTCCCTTTGTGAACAACACCGACCAAAAAAAGATGCAGTCTGGTACTGACAGGGGTGCATGAATCATAGATGGAGCGAAATCACAGATGCTCGGGCCAAAACACAGCACTCCAGGGTTGCTTGTTCTGTGTTCACAAAAATGCAGAATACAAAGGGCTCTGAGTAAATGTGCCAGTGTTTGGTCCTGGATCAAAATATCTGGGGAGCATAACAAGGCTAGCATTTACAAATGAATGAGTTAGTTACCCTGAGTTAATTAGCAATTACTTAAATACAAAACAAGACCACAAACACTAGCCTAGACAAACCTTAAAGGACTGAAAGATTCAGAATTCTAGTAAGCACTGTTACATAACAAGGACTAGAACAAAGGGGAAATATTTCTCATATAAAAACAAGTTATGATGTTAAGACTAAGGGCTTGAAACCAAATATTAAAATCAGAAAAAAACAAAAGTCAAGAACTCCATATCACCTTCATTACCACCCCGTACAGTAGGTGCCATCTCTCCAACTCTCCATTTTTTTCAAAGCCATGACTCTCCAATCAAATCTGGTGATCAAAAGGGGCCAGTTACAGCCCAACTCAGGACAGGTACAAACATTACACTTTTACCAATAAGTGACCGGAAATTGAAATATACCCATAAAAGAACAGAAGTTCAATGCACACAGACTGGATTAAAAATGGTGGAACTCATTCTAAGATCTGTCCCCCACCCGCACCAAAGAGTGATTGTGTGTTCTGCTCACTACCAATCTAAACTACACCTCTTCCAG